ATCGAGTCGAAACTACTTGCATGTAATTTGAGTGATCCGATAAAAAACGCGGGAGACGGTTAGATTATACCACAGACCAAGGGAAACATTATTTCCTAAGTCAATGATTATTCGAAAAAGACATCTCATCTATATGGAACAGTTGTCACAATTTGTTTACTATAAACTAATGTAGTTGTGGTGTGAGCCAGTCACAGATTGCTCTAGTGCCTAAAACTCTATTTTGTACCTTATTTTTTTGTAACTGACATAGTTACTGGGCCTCTTAACAGTTGCTATAGCTCATAATTAGTCATTCCATCAGATTTGACTTGGCCATCGTGTGCTCACATCAACTAAGACAAATTTTATCTAAAACCTAGCGACAACTGTAACTTGGGGATGGAATGTCTAACCATAGGGAGTAGACATTGTCTCATTCATTTTAAATGTACGTAAGAATTTTACAATGTTCTATTTTCAGAATGATTATTTTTAATGGGGGGATTAAACCCCTTATATCAATAGAAAGAGGGCTAAGCGCGTAGGTCAGCTGTGTGGTGATAATTGTAATAATTCCACTAAACCCACTGACTGAGCGGAACATGATGTTGGTACTGTAGCGGAGTTGTTAATGAACAGACGACCTTGGCATGAATGTTATGTTGTCATGGCAACCAGATATCACAACACGTGGTGGCAACACACGATCAGCTGATAACAGACAGTACAGTATTGTACATGAAGCCTGTCACGTACAAAGAAAAGTAAACCATGCTGGGCAAATTTGTTTTAAATGCAGGAAACCGGTGTTGATATAAATTAGTCCATTAGTGGTCCAAGTTGATCAGAAGAAAGTCCCTATGAATGAACGGACCTCTTGTAAGCTGTGTATGTTTGTTATACCAATACCACCGTCGACAGAAGAAAAACTAGAAACGTGTAATCTGACTTATGTATAGGTTTAAGTTCTGAAGCACTGTAAACTTTCAGACAAAACTGCAGTTTACAAAGGAGACTTTTTTATTTAACTGTATGAGATGTTAACAATCTGATGTCAAGTATCCGTCCGGACTAGGCAAAGTCCGTAGGCGTCCGGATTAGTGAGGGAGTACTTCGCACTGTTATGTTTTACCAACTTTCATCATAGGTAAAAAAATAGATAGATAGATGTGCAATCTAACGGGCTAAAAGGAGACATTTATTTTTTACCATATGATGACTTCTCTCCAGTTTATTAGTTTATTGTAGACAGTTTTGTTATTTACTTTTTACTACTTTTCCCTCTTCTATTAGCTTTAACAATACATATTTTGGCCAAATAAAACGGTGATGTAATAAACTGGACAACTGTCACTTCTCCTGTATGTCACACAATATATTATCAAGACTTACAGGAAATGAATAACTATACAGAATGCCAGTGATGTCACTAAATCAGAGTTTGACATTAGCAATTAGCCTATCCTACAGCAAGGACTTAAGCCGGGTTTACACTATGTAGCAAAACCTGCTATATAGCAGATTTGTGTAACATCTAGCAATGTTATATAACATTTGCTAGAAGTAGAAAAAGTCACTTTTCAAAAGTGCTATATAACACTGCTATATGTAGCAGATTCTGCTATATATAGCACAAAATTGTGCTATCCATCGGGAGTCGGTAAAGATCAAAAGAAATGCGTGCTATATCTAACATTGCTATATGTAGCAATGTTATACAAATATTTTTCGTCTAGCATCTGCTATATGTAGCATTTAGTGTCAACAGTTCACAAAAGTTCACAGTTATAGCCTCCTGTGTACGGACGTTTTGCTCGGGGATCTTTGTTTACAATGGAAGGACTGTAAAGCGACAGTGCGTGGGATCGGGATGCTCGTAACGATCGGCCGGCCGGCCCGGCCTGAACAGTCCACAGCCGGCCGGCCGATCGTTACGTGTATGGGGGGCCTAATTGAACTGTTCCGTGGACAACCGGCCGTTGTAATCATACGTAAAACGTTTTTGAATCTACCATCGCCTTATTTCGCGTTTTAAATATGGATCGCTTCCGCTTCTGACTTCCGATCACCGTGATAGCTGCCTCGAACAATGTCTCTTCGGCTCGACATTTTCGATACAGAATGTAAATGAGGTTGTGCTACATATAACATATAGCACGGGCACCGGAATCACAAAATTGTCTGTAACTTTTTTGTATAGTAAAAGTTATATAGCAATGTTATATAGCAAAAGTTATATAACAATATTATATAGCAAAAGTTATATAGCAGTTTTTGCTACATAGTGTAAACCCGGCTTAAACCTGACAACTATGAGATGTCTGTACGAGTCCCCAAGAACTTGTTAAAATATGAATTTCATTGTAAGGTAGCTTCAAAACATTGATGGTTAAATTCAACGAGCCTAGATTAAGTTGCAGTGTTGCAGTTAAGTTCATTTTATACCACTACGGACTCGGGACTACCTCTGCTTGTGGTATATCATATAGCCGTAAAGATCTAAATATGGGGACAGTTTTTGTTTCCTAAATTGGTATGACTTTATAACTTGAATAGACACCACTAAAATAGTCTAATAGAAATTTAAACTTGAAGCAACTATCTACATTATTACTTCAATTAATTATCATCGAACTATTTACATGTTAAGTGTAAACATTGTTTTCCTCCATTTTCTTTATTGGCGTCTATTATTGTACTGTTTACTGTAATAACAACGAACCACAAATTACCATTTTAAAATAACAGAGGAGGCCATCCGAAAATATAAGATCTGTTTAATGAACAGCTTTTAAAGTAAAAAATCTTATCACAGATTAAACAAATGTTACGCGATCAAGACACTTTACCTTCATAATATTTACATCAATTCAAAATGTTTTCAATCCTAAAACTCATGTTTATCTAAGATTCTATTTACATACAGATTATACTATCTGTATGTGATTCGTAGCAATCCCCTTATCGAGCAGGAAGTTAAATTTGTCCTTGTAGACATCGATAAAACAGTTCAAATAAACAGAGTAATCAATAAGTGTGACTTATTGATACCCGGAAGTGCGACAATGGTAAGGGCGGAAGTACTAAGGACAAGAGCTCCTTTACAGCTGGCCCTATTTATGTGTCAAACGCAGCGCCGGGCCGTACTACTTTTCCAGCACAGGAACAGAAAGCGACCACTATTGCATTGGTATAATTATTTGTTTGGCCCGGAAGCAGTGGGCTCGCGCGACGAGGTGTGGTGGTGGAGGGGAGGAGTAAGTTACACCATTGAGGAAACCGGCCCAGTGTTGACAACCGTACCATGGAAAAATAGTCGTACGCACATGATAACGGCATGGCCTTCATTACACAAAAGCTGTATTATGGGCGACTGTGTGCAATTGCACACAATATAAATGATTCATCCAACTCGCAATAATTATTTCGAGTTGGATATTGGATGAATCATTGTTGTATTCTAATTCTACTGTAGTCTTAATCATAATCAAAATATCGTTGATGATATTTAAATAGGCCTTCGTTATCTTACTATTTTTTTACAAGCAATTACATAACTAGATTTTACGCGAGTAGTAAACTAATTTACATTCGCATTACATGAAACATCCGTGTATAAAATAATGCCTTTTGAATTTCCACGCAAGCATCAATCATTATTTCTTAGAGGCTGTCTTAAATGTTTGTAAACTGAAAAAAGTAAAATAAACAATCAACTTACCATTACTGTAGTAGTGTAGTATGCATTTAGTAAGTATTTTCTAGTAAAATCTTGCAATTCCCCCCCCCCCATGTTTCATACTACAACATTATTGCATTATTATATAATGTTGCTGCCTATAGAATGGAAAAACTTACTGTTTCTGTTTGCTTAGATCTTTGTCAGTGTTTCTATTTATCGTATTGTAAATTAATTCATTGTTTCTGTTTGCTCTGTTTTTGTTTTGGTTTCAATTTTTTGCATTGTATGTATTGATATTTCTCGTTGACTGATCTGTTATTGTTTCAATTTCAATTTGTTGTATTGTTAAGCTTATTGTTATTTGCTTTTGCTTGTGAAATTTGTTGCACAGTAATCATATCAATTTGTATAAATTGGCAATTTGCCGTTGAAATAAATCAAATGAATGAAAGTACGGTTGTAGCCTATCGGGCGCAAATGTATTCCTCAGACAGTGTAATAATATAGTTTAATAACTAACCCGGTCTTATTTTGCTTACTTACACTTAACAAATGATTCCTTTCTAAATTCAATGAATTGTCTATTTAAAATAGGTAAATTCGCCGACTTACCAATTACAAGCCACTATCACAGACAGATATAGAATGCTACAACACATTTCGTGTTTAATTAAAACGTTTATTGTCACGTCACATTGATTAAATCAGCCTGGGATTAAATATCTAAATTGACATTTTGGAGTTTAAAATCATAAATGGAATATGAAAATGGTACAAACCAAATTGGAGCTTATAGGTTCTTGTTCTATCTATAACAATAACTTTTAACTGGCGTTGTTGGCGATATTTAACAACTTGAAATAAACTTATAACTTGAATAGGAGTAAACTAGGAGTTTAGGACCCTTGAGTACCTATGCAATTAGACCTGTAATGTGTGGAATTTTAAGATTTTAGTCGTGCTACAACAGTATAAGCAAATATTACACAGCACGGTTTTTAAGTATAGGTTAAAACTGTCAATTATTTATTAAAATAAACATACAGTACGATACACTATAAGTACAGTTAGTTATGGTTTCTCTAAAGAAAAGATTCTATCTCATAGTTTGCAACAGAATAGAATTGGAATCCATTTAAAACTTTCATCTCGATTAAAACTGGGAAACAACAATGGCAGAATGAAGTAAAGCATTGACAACTAGAGCACTTTCATTCATTAGCGAAATAATTACCATTTCCATATTGTGTACATCATTGTGTACGATCTAATTTCATTGTTGCGTTGGTTAGCACTGCGGAGCTTTCATTCATTTTGCCCAGTAGATCCTGGCAAATGTAGACAACATGGCCGATGTCAAACGTAACGTTCGCGTCGAGGAGAGATTGAGGATTAAAATTGTTAGTAAATCGTGTATTTCAGTATTGTTTTGTGATAAACAGTGAATTTAATATGTGTTTTATAAGTGTGTGGTGTAATTTTGCTCAATTTGTGGTGTTTTGTGGCTGTGTTTTCAAAGTGAATCGTCACCTGCCCATGCATTGTGTAGGCTAGATTGCAGTGCTGGGTCGAATTTTGCGCACTGTTGACACATATTTAGTGTTGAGCACGTATCGCTCTGTCCTGCATTACAAGTTCTTACTACATCAAGCTCCTTAAATTTCGAAATTTATGTTAAAATTTTAATGGACATCTTAAATATAAGTGCCACTTTACTAAATACCCTAAGTTACTTTACTATGTTCATTCAAAGTTACACAGTATAATTCTCTAACTTAGTAGGCTATTATGTTATTTAATGTAAAGGATGTTGATCAGTTGCCTTCCGGTGATTTTATTGATAATAATAACAGAATTCTAGGGCATATAAGTATTCATGCATTGCTTCAGTACCGGTGGTGACTTGAGCATTTTAACTGAGCTGTACTTAAGGTGTGCAATACCGTACTGTTAGCTTTTCTTCAAACAGTGTGTTTAAGAGCATAGGCCTATGATAAGTCTAAATGTTAACTATGCTAACTATAGCCTACTATATAGTTTTTAATAACAGGCCATAAGTTATGCCCTTTAGCCTACAAATAATTAAGTTAAGTTCACCCTAAATTACTTACAGTTCCCAATGGGCGAATTGTCTAGCCTTTAACTTAACCCTAGAATGCTCGTAAGGGGGAAAATTTTCTCTGGGTAACTTAAATAGCATAGGCTACTACGATTTTGATATGAGAGAAAGTATATTAACTTCAAAGCCTATGTAAAAAGGCGCCCCCAGTGCTTTCATCCCTCTGAGTTCAGTTCAGCTAAAGTTTCTGTTCGCACGATCAGGTCGGGTCCAGGCGAGAGGGTCGGTGGGGTTACTTTAGTGAAAACATTTAAGTTTCTTGCAGGTCACTCACCCCTATCCCCAGCACTGCCAATAACCGGTAGCTTTAGCCGTAGGTTTAGTTCCGCTAGTAGCGACCCTAAGTCAATTTTGGGTAGGCCTAAGTGTAGGCCTACTTTTTCCCATGGGGCAAGTAGGCCTACCCCCCCCCCCCCCCTTTGACTGAAATTATCTAAGAACAAAGAAAACTTTGTTATCTCTTACCGGTACTTAAATGACAAAGAGAAAACTTGCACTTTTTTTTAAGGTTTTAGTAACATTCAGGGCCTAAGTAAATTACAATTTTAAATATTAAAGTACCGGTACGGTATAGGTCTAGGTAGTGATCAATTTTAAAAACCAAAATAAATTATTGTACTTACATTAAATGAAATAGTGGAATCACATGGTTTTTATTTTATCTTTAGAATTTCTAATAAAGCTGGTGTTTCCGTTTTCCCTTGCGGAGGTTCACAAAAAAGCGTATAAGTTAACTCCCTGAACCGGTTTGAGATAAGTTAGCCTAAAATTTGATTATAAAAAATCAAAAGAAAGCTATTTTTTCCCTCTACAATCCACTTGCCCCAACCCAACGCATGTAGCCTAATAAGTTATGCAGTGGAAAGCTACAATAAGGGGGGGGGAGGGGGGGGGTGTACACTTACCCCAGATCAAGGGGGAAGTGTGCATCCCAAACATCATTTTACAAAAGAAATTCTCAAAAACACATAGGTACCTAATTCATATGTTTAACAAAATAAAAAAAAAAAACATATAACCTACACCATTACAAATAATAATCTCAGCAAATTTTATTTCTACTAGCACCTACATGCATTTTTTAATCTGTGGTCGAAGTTGTTTACTATGTGATTTGGGGCGTACACTTACCCCACTTGACCTTAGGCATTTTGCAGTTTTTTACAGACTTTTTTACAGTTCAAAAATAAGTTAGGGTTTGTAATGTGGTGCGATTAAATTGCCCTTTGTTTTACTGAACTATTCCTTGAAAACTTGATGGGGTACCGGGTAAATATTTTGGCCCTAGGCCTATAGGCAGCTCTAGGTGGTTAAGTCTAGAAACTTCCTTGAAGTTTTCATTATTA